CCCCAAAACCCCAAAACCCCAAAACCCCAAAACCCCTTTAAAATGTAAAAATATTGAAAATTATTAATATGGAAGAAAATACTACCAACCCACAGTTGAGCATTATGAAAAATGCTAAAATTGAAGATTACAACCTTGCTCAGACCTGAATTAATAATGTGGCGTAAGCTTCCTTATTTAGCTCCTAGGAAGAAGATTCAATATGGCAAAATCAGTGTTTCAAGCACTGCTATAGTCAGTTTGGGTAAAAACCTTGGGACATTTGTTTAAACTCCAATTTTTAAGTGTGCTGTGTAATAAATTACCGATAGAACCTTTAAAACCGAAATAAAGACCCATACTTAGTGAAAATGGGAAGGCTGTATTCAAAGGATCCGGAAGAGATTAAAAAGATTATTCTATCTATTCCGAAGAAAAAGAAAGTCAGGTATCCAGTAAAGTTAAAGAAACCAAATGTTGAGAGACCTGTTCCGCTGTATGAGAAGATGGAGAAAGAATTTGACCGAAAATATAAAGATCAGGATAATAAAAGACTTGAATTTGGGTAAAGATTGCAAAAATGAAGATCAAAATGCCAAGTCAAATCTAGATATCAGGAAGGAATTATGCTCTAATTTAGCTAAAAATAATCAAAATCAACCTCTACAAAAGTCTGAGCCTACCTAAAGCTCACTTATCACAAACTCCAACCTCAAAACTCCTCCCATCTAAACCAAAATTCTATTACCATCACCCTATCTATTACAAGACCCGTTCTCAAGAGCGTAAATAAGCTTAAACTAATTGAAAAATTAAGATCAATGCCCAGCTTTCAACAAAGAATCAAATAACTATGAAAAGTAAACTTACACTTATTCCTAGAATCGTTAAAATCAAGCATCCTCCAAAGCAGATCTCTGAAGAAGACAAGCTGCTTCGTAGCCTTCAGCTTGAGATGAATCGGAATGCAGACCAGCTCAAGCAGGATAAATATAGACAGAAAATCGATGCTCTGATCAAGAAAGCCAAATTCAAGGTATATAGACTCTTGTGATATCTCTAGATCCTCCTATCTAAGGAAATCATGGGTAAACCAGCTGAAAGCTCAGCTGATACATCAACAAATGTTCTTTTTAAGAAGAAAAATCTTACCGAAGAATGCAACCTAGATCAGTACAATCTTGCCAAAATTCAGAAGAACAGGAAAATTCTGAAGAAGAGGTGCACCAAGAGGAATCCACTCTTGAGTTCCTCTCTGCAGACCAAATCACAGAATTTATCTGTGGATTCTAACAAGAGTAAGAAAGGATTGCCTCTACGAAGATTTAAAGTTCCTATTCTTTTATCAGTTTTCTAGATTATTATGAACCCATGTAATTATTTAGTATAAAAAATCGCTTTGAACACTTTCAGATGCTATTTTTCTGATTATTAGGATATAACAACTTTTATATTAGCACATACAAAAGTTATTAGACAAAGACGAGTAAATAATAGGCACAAAAAGCTCAAAGTATGTCTGCTCTAACATATTAGCTTCATCAATCGCTTGAAAATAGCATTTCTTCGACAGTCCAACATCGAAGGACAGATTCTGAGAACTCAGGGTCAACGACCAAGTACAATAAAGACCCTATTAAAGTAAACTCTCCAGTCTTCACCCCTCCACAGATAATCGACTGAAGGCCAGTCACGCCTCCTGAAATCTCTAACCTGATTACACGTATAAAACAAAAAGTGAACAGAATTCAGATTCTCAAGATTGTCACTGGAAGTGACGATGAAAATTTGACTATTCAGATTTAGGCCAATTTAGAATTTTATGAAGGAATTTTCAATTTTAGAATTTTAATGAGGGGTTTTGGGGTTTTGGGGTTTTGGGGTTTTGGGG